ATTTTGTACCTGTGAACTTGCCAACCTTTTTCTTAAAAATAAATGTGATGTTGAATTCACTTTTTTGACCACAATTTTGGGTGTACTGTTTTGTTTTTGTTTTTAATGATGGGGGGTGGGGGGGGGTGTGGCTTATAGTCCGGTGCGGCTTATAGTCAGAAAATTACAGTACTGCCTGAGTCCCAGTCAAAAACTAAGACTGGTCTCGAGCTACAACACTAGCTGATAATGACAGTGATGATCGTCAGTAAAGACGCGCAGCCTGCAGAGTAAAGTGTTACCTGAAACAGAGTCTGTGATCCAGTCTGGAGTGACAATCTTGATGTGTGAGTGTTTCAGGGCACACTCAAACTTCATCTGAAAACAAACCACAGAAAAACAAGGATTACTGGAACCCCAGCCAGAATCACTCTGCTCCAGTCTCATGCAGCGGTAAGACGGTGTGTGTCTCTACTCCCCTTTGCTTTGCTGTGTAGTTAAAAGCTACACAACTAAACAGTGTGCTCTTCTTGATAAGAGAGCTGCAGCTGTCCTCTGAGGGACACATCAGGACATTATTACAGCAGCAGACATGCTGGACAGGGCTGTGCAGTGAATCAAATGTGCATTTTTGATTTTGATTACTGTTACAATTATTAATAATAAAAATCTATTATTAGAGGAAATATTTCCTCTTAACTCACTTTGCCAGGGAGTTTCCTTCTTGCCTCATCTTGAATGAGCTTGTGTCTGAATAAATGCTTTATATGTTATTTTAATTTGAAAGCACAAACCCATGAGGCAAATAAATAGCGTGTCAAATCTCTGTGAATAATTGTTTTTAATAATAACTGATGAAAATAATGATCTTTCTTATGTCCCTGACAATAAACACCAGCTCAAGCTCAAACTAAAAACAGAACATGCACACAGACTCATGAACTTACCCCCTTTGGTTCCTTCACCACTAAATGTGTGACCTTCTTGTTCAGGTTCAGCTGACATTCTCCTCCATGGAAGGTTACATAAGCCCACAGAGAACTCAGATCCTCCGGAAGCTGAAATCATTCACAATAAAAAAAAAAGGAAACTCTGTAAAAGCACTGAAAACACCTTCTCTGCTTGAAAACAATGCCTGTGTTCTCACACACTCACTCTGGGAAGACAAACAGTCACGCCAAAAAAGATCTGTCCTGATTCTGGAGAGAAGCCGGTGACGCTGCGATTTCAACAGTTAAGAGGAAAAACATCAGAGAGGCAGATCTGTCAGCGATTACTTCACCTGAGCCTGTTTTTTTTTACAAACGCCACACGCTCATAGTAACACGACGGGGAAAGGATACGGTAAAAGGTCTCCACATCGAACAGACAGGATCACCCATGAGGGCTGCAAAAACACAGAGACAAATTAATGTTTTCCTTTCTTCAAGCTTCAGATTAACAGATATTTTTAGCAGCCAAAGGCTGAAAATAATCACAATCACATCATTATAATTACACCGTAGACACAAAGGCAAACAAGCATATCAAATTTCAAAAAGGCAGCATTTGCAAAATMGGACGTCTAAATATGAGCACAACAAAAAGTGTCCAGCAGATGGCAGACAAGATTCTTCTTAAAGGGCTGTAGTTTTGAAATGGACTTTATGTTTTGAGGAATGTCATTCCATGCGTTAGTATAAACATAGAAGAAAGACCTCTGGCCGTAACAGTTTTTAAAAGTTGGTAATTGTTGTGAACACGCTGCAGCGCGGCCCTTACCTTGACAACAGGCAGGTCAAAAACTTCTCTGGACTCGCCCACCTCAGGGTTGTCCCCGTCCTCTGCGATGATGTGAGTGGCCAGAGCGTTGTAGGACACCTCCTTCCCTTTCCCTGCTTTCAGCAGCTGCACCACCTGGAGCATCAGGAGGGGCGTGAGAGGCTGAGGCGTCACACAGAACTGCGCTCCACTGGGTCAACTTAACCCACGTTTCTTCAGGAGGGTTAATAAATGTAAACTTCTAGGCTTCTGTTATTATTTTAGGCCTCTCAAAACAGAATGTAGATAGATTATAATACAAAACATTAGGCTGATAAATATACACATACAAATAATCTTGATATATATATTTAGTCCATACCTTGAAACCCTTAATAATTAGGAATGATTAACACTTAGTAAGCTACAAAATAACACGTTATTGCTTTCCAAATTACTTCTAAAACCAACATACTCATTGTTTAATCGTGCTTAATAACTCATGAAATGTTCATACAAACATACTTTCACACCATGTGTTAGACATGTATTAATAGTTAGAGATGGTTTGAATTGACTATCTACTAATCCTGCAGAGCATCAATAATTAAGGCAGTTCTAGTTATGTTTTTTTTTTGTGAACCTTTAACGTATTTGTTAATGTAGACAAACCCCGAAGGGCCACAAGCTCCTTTTCACCAATGCAAATCAGACCAAAATCATAATTAATTCACACAATCTCTAACCATGTTGAACACATGGTATGAAAGTACATTTTCATGAGTATTACATACAAATGCATGCAGTATACAGAGTAATTCACGAGTTATTAAGCAAGTGATTAAGTAAGGCTAAATAAGTTATTATTATAAAGTGTTCCCAACATGTTTAGGTTAAACGTGTTACATAGGAGAAAGGATTTATGAAAAACAGATTTCATATAACAATAAAGTGCAATATAGTGCTGATTTGATTTCTATGCGCTCTCTTTTGGATTAATCCCTGTGATGTTGCACACTTTTTTCTGAAAACTTAAAAAACTGGGTCAGGCTCTCCATCAGTGTTGACAAAAAGCTTCTTTCCTTTAGTTGTCATTATTACTGAGCGCGCGGAGAAGCACTATTTGGCAGGAAGTACAACAAGGCAGAACTAGCGGGTGAAACAGCGGCGGCGCATGCGCAGTGGGCGGAACCCCCACTGAGCAATATGTTGACAGCTGCAGGTTGATGTGAAACGACACGGTGGAAACCTGTGCGAAGTGTTCCCTGACACAGACTGCACGTAAACACATTTAAAGACTAAACAACTAACGCACGAGCTCAGCACTCTGACACCTGCACAGCTAGCATTGAGTGGAAGCTAACACAGACCCTTTCTGAGACCACACAGCTAAGAGTTAAAAGAAATAAACAAGGCAGAGTCTCATAACTCCACCAGACAGGACAGAGAGGAGGTATTCTGCTGTTTTATTTACCACCGTGATCATCTGTGTTCAGCTAACTTAGACTACAGCCTGCATTAGAAAGGTTAACATGCTAACAGCGTAGCTTAAAGAAGCTAGCATCCACACAGCCTCACCTTTTGATCAATGTCCCCGACCACGTAGAATTTGACATCTTTAAAGAGCTCATCGGGAACCTTCCACTCCTCGTCAGACATGATTTTCCATGAACAGAAAGAGGGAGAGGGGAAAACGTGAAAAGGCTGGAAGAAGGAAGTTTGTAGCTCTCAGACAACTGGACACAGCAGCAGCGCCAAAGCCAGTGAGCGCGCTCCGGACTGTACCACTCAGCTCACGTAGGGGGGCTGAGCCAGTGACGTCAAGTCACGTGACGCGGTCAGAGGCTTTTGTTTTGGTTTTTAAATGAGAGATAATGCACTCTTTTGTGCACAATACACAACTTATAACAATGTCTTCTATTCATTTCGTGATAGAAAAAGAAAATGGACAAAAAAATGCAGAAAAATTGCCAGGAGGTTAAAAAACATACAATATTATATTCACACAGTGAGACAATAATGCTGATATTGTTTTAACAGACTTTTTGTTTTAGATTGGCTCATTAAAAAAAGTCAGCTCCTCAGACATATTGTTGCATAAATTATTTTCAAAGTATGTGCAAAATAAATTACTAATTTCAATAAATGTTATTTTATATGGAAGCAATTGTGTTCCATAATGGTAGTGAAAAAAGAAGCAACAGCTTCCAAAAACAGGAGCACAGGACCTGGTGTTTCTCTGTAATCAGGACACTGCAGCTAAAGTTTCGACAGTTCTGAATAAGGCCTTTTGAAACTTTAGCTGTTTTTTTTTAAATTGTTTTATTTATTTATTTATTTTCAGTGTCACAATTTGTCATGTCGTGCTGGACACACCCTTGTTTGGTGAGTTTAAAGCACTTGATTGTTGTTTTGTTTGTATGGCTTTAAATACATAAAACAAAGTGCTACAAAATTTAATTATAAAATACAACTAAAACCAAAAATCCTTCTGAATTAGACAAAAAAAGTTCAGTCTTTTATTATGTAGTAGATTATTTATAAATTTGCAACCATAGGCCTACAGTGAAGCACACGACGACTCCCAATAAGGAGCCGGCTGTGAACAGGATCTTTTGAGACCGACTCACTAATTCAGGGTTCTATTAATGTAAGTTTCAACTTCTTTATAATTTTATAATTCTTTAAATGATAATTTACAGTTATGTATGTAAAATGTTGCTATAATAAGGAATAGGTTGATTATATGCATTTTTTCTTTGATTTCACTTGTAAAAAGGGGGGAAAACAAGATGTGTGCATTAAACAGTTGATAGTCTTCAAATTTTTTGCATTCATTGTTTGCATCAGCCTTTTATTAAACATTGCATTACACTTTCTTACACAACGCCAATGTCAATATGTCAATTTGACACTGCATTTCAGTATTTTCACTTCTAAGCTTATTTGATCTGCTGATCATAAAGATCAGTGTAATCTGGTGACTTCAGCTGAGTTAAAAAAGGAAAGCTTCAACATGTGATAGTAAAACCGTAATCTCAGTTACATCACCATACATTGGACACAAAACCTGTACAGCTCTGTACAACTTCATCCTAAAACCAAGAAACAAAGCCTCCTTTTTATCCCTGAATCAAATCAAACCCAAAACCTGTTGCTAGCTGTATGAACACTATGGGAAAAAATCGAAATAATGTGTAAATAATCTGCAACACTAAAATAATTTGTATAGCTTAAAAAACTTTTTATATATTTTATAAATACTGTTTTATTTACAGTAACTCTGTGGTTTGATCACAGAATGTTCTTCAGTCAGTGTGATTTTAAGATAAAAAATTAAAATTAAAATAAAAACAAAAAAGAAATGTAAATAAGTATCTGTGTTTTAAATAAAACAATGACACCACGTTCAGATCAATTTTTTAATAGATGTAGCCAGACCCCAGAGGCTGAATTGACCTTTAACATTGGAGCTCCTTAATATTAGTGAGATGATCAGCAAAATAAACTTTTCTCTTAGCTGAGAGAAGGATAAAGTTTAGCTTGTCTTATAAAATCTTATTACCAGATCGAGTGTGTCAATAATATTTAGAATGCTTAATTTATTTACACTTGAGGGAGAAATCACAGGGACTTTGAAATAAAAGAGACCAAATTTGACCTTTTCTAAATTTATTTCAAAATAAAACCAAATTTGGAGAATTTGAGTTTTGACAGAGTAATTACTCCGAATTATTTGAACCTAGTTTAAACTGTTATATTTGTTTAATAATAATTAAAGAAATCTGAAGCAAAAATTAACCCTTTGATTAAAGGTTCATTAAACTCTGAGAACATTTTGAACAGGTTGATTGATTAATATTTGTTTTAAGTTTATTCACACAAAGTTTGGAATGTCAAGGGTTTCATTTCAGCATTTAGTTCAAAAGAATATTAATGATTTTCATGGTAATCAGAAAATGGAGATTATTTATTTAAATCTGAAACATGACCAATGTTGTGTTCCTCGTCACCAGATAACAAGGAGCCTCAGGAGGTCAGGAGAGGTGATGATGTTGAAGCAGGTCTGAGGTCCTCGTCTCAGTGGACGACTTGCACTAGACCTTACTGCTGGACTTTACTAAAACAAAAATCTTGGCAAAACATTGGTCAATAAAAACGACAACAGGAGACAAGAGGATGAGATGAACACAGAACGAGCTGCAGCTGCAGGTGGACCAAGGTCCTTCATGGTTATCAAAGGTGACACCAGATTCAATTTGTTACAGATATAAAAAACTGGATGGAGGAGAGGAGTTCTCAGCTCAGCCTCCTGTTCTCTGTACCCAGACAGAGACAGACAAATAGACAGAGTTATAATGCTGTCAAACAGCTTGTCCAATCAGTGCTGCAGAACTGAGTTAACTCCTGGCAGGGTGGGGGGATGAAGCCATAGAGCGACCGAGACTAATGGCGTACAAAATGCCAAGAAGCATGTCGAAACTAACAGCTCTGTGAGACACGAGGCGTCCATCTCCATCATTAATGTAGCTGTCAGAATAATCTGCACTCCTTCCGTCAGTCGAGGCTCAGATAAACAAAGCCATCCTGGATGTTTTATACTTTTTCTGTTGTTATAAATCGATAAAACACAGATCTGTCGCAGACAACAGACACAAAACTGCCTTTGGTAAACTTTAGAGGCTTCACAATAAAACTTTTAATTCTTAGGGGCGGAGCAAGAGGGGTGGCCAGGGGGGCAAGTTCCACCCCTAACACCTGATTGGCCAATAGTGCCACCGCCAAATGACTGACTGAGGGTGGGGATCACATTTGGTAACACAAAATGGTCAGATAGAGCTAAAACAAAGTAAATATCTGTTAAACAGCTGTATTATACAGTGTAGTGGGAACCTATCAGTGTGTGAAGAAAAATAATAACTTTTCTAAACCACTGAATTAATATAAAAGCAATTATTCTACCACATGTTTTTTGCCATTTAAATTTAGCTTTGGTGGACATCTTGGATTATTTTATTTCTGAACATTTGGCATCACTCTTAGCTACCACCACATTAAATTTCAGCTTAAAAATTAATTTCTAAATGACATGAGAGTTGCTCTTGGCTACCACCTTACCAAATTCAGTGTTTCTAAATAAATAAATAAATAAATAAATAAATAAATAAATAAATAAAAATGGCTGAGGTCCAAACATTTAAAATTAGCTTTAGTGGCCATCTTGGATTTTGTATTTTTACATTCAGATTTTGTTAAAGATTATTCTTGGCTACTACTATGTAAATTTTCAGTTGCGTACTCAATGGCTGAATTATGGCCTTTGTAAAATTAGCATTAGCGGTTAGCTTAAATTTGGACTAGTAATCATTCTTGGCTACACCACAACAAATTTCAGCTCAGTTAGTCTTAAAACAGCTGAATTATAGGCATTTAAATTTAGCATGGTGGCAATCTTAAAATTTCAAACCCAGGGTTGTTTGTGTCCTCCTGGTCCTGTGAAACCCCATGCACAAAAAGTCTAGCTCCGCCCCTGTCCATGTTGTTCTGCCATTAGAACCTGTGAACCTGAGTCTTGTCTTTATAACATTTAAATATTGGGACAAAAACTGGCTGAGTTAGTTGTCATTTTTGTGCCAGTTAATCATCTTGAATTGGTCATCAGTTTTTTTGGTGTTTGTGTTTCAGAGTCTGGGTGGTGTAGCTCTGTTCATGGTCTGTAGATGTCCTCAGTTTCACAGTTTCCAGCTCCCTCTCTCTCCACATGTTTTATTAAAAGTCTTCAACCAATCTGTTATTACCCTTCATCACCCCCTTCCCTGGTTTTCTTCTTCACGGCTTCTCACAAAACTTGAGTTTTTGTCTGTATCATTAGAAAACTATCTCGTGAAAACTCTCAGACATAAACTGATCAATTTTAACCGCTGTGTTTTGGCTGCTACATAAATTAACTCACTTAGTAACTTATTGAAACATTGAGTTCAACACTGTAAGTCAGGCCTGTTCAACAAGCAGACAGGATGAGACTCTTTTTTAAAAATATCTTTACACTCATAAATCCATCAAAATCCCCAAATGATATATCTGAATATAATGCTAAAATATACATCACATCACATCAACTCTGTGGATGAATATATTAAGTTCACAHGAGAGGATGTGAAAAATGGCAGGTTGGCGTTCCTGGATTGCGATGTCTCGGTTTCGGATGGAGGACGGTTGGAAACTGGCGT